TAGTAAGAAAGAGTTAGCACGACAACGGCAATTCTGTTGTATTCAAAACACAAACAAGTATAGTTATTTATTTAATTCAAATTATAACACGTGATTCTAATGGATAAATTAAACCAAAGTAGTGATAATACTTATCTTCACTAGAGATCAAGGATAAGACCAAGACTCTTTCAAAAAATTAGAGATAAACACGTAAAGACTTTAAAACATGGGAACAGCACGTATATATGTATATATAAATTCGCTCATTTCCAACCAGGGGTGCACACGCAAGTCAAGATCCTTATTAATTAGGTTAGTTAGGGTTTCTTCAAAACTTTCGCGATGAGGCGCCTCCTGATGGTCTACCTCGACGAAAAAACAAGGTAATCACATGCACACTTGGTTACTGCCCTAGTGCCCTTGTGATTGATAATCAAGTATTAATGTATGTCTCATCTGTTACTTCGTAGATAATTGATTTGGAAACTGCAAATATTTCATTCGTGATGGTAATAAGCTTCAAAGTCTGCAATTTTAATAACAAACTAAAGATATTTCGTCAATTGGAGGTTTTATGTGCAATATATGTATATGCAAATGTGCTCTAAATCACTATATTATTCTTTGTTCTTAATTGCGGCTTGGTAGGAGAATTATGTTTTGTTCCTGCATTTAATCTAGCTAGCTTTACACTTTCCGTTCCTAACAATCCATTTTCTGTTTTTTTTATGTGCCGCAGAGAAATCCGTGACAAGAGTATAATTGTGGATTTGGTCGAAGGCATAATCTTTTACACTGTGTTTTTTGGATCGATGGCACTTATTCGTGCATATCCTGAAAGAATGCTTCCACCTATGTTAACATACTACCGCCTATCAAGAATGTTTGTGTTGCTGATTCTCGATTTCATTGGCCGGAAGTTCAGAATGATCATCTTCATAATATGTAGAAGAAGAAGAATGATCATCTCGAAAGTAGAGGACAGCAGCCCCTGGTCCAATAAACGCGCGGGAGATGTTATGCAACTGATTCTACGACGACTGGGCTTATCAGACTACGTTCGATGTGCTGCAGTATGCCGTTCATGGCAAGCAATTATTAAAAGCAATATTCAGTCACGCCGTCCCCTTGCTCAGGATCAAGTTCCATGGCTTATGTTAAGCTCTCATCCCATGTCCACTAGAGCTCATCGCGTTTTAAGTCCAGGTGATTGGAAAGATCATAAATTTCTACGATCATGGCCAAATACAATTTTTTATTGTACAATGAATAGGATGGATTGTGTTGGCTCAATAGAGGGATGGTTGATCATGGTCGACAGTGCGTTGAGGCGTCCAGAGGGTTTTATGAAACCTTGGTCATTCTACCTAAAAAATTGTCAGAACCCTAGTTTTAAAATAGAATTCTTCTTCTTCAATCCAATATCTGGTGATCGAGTGATGCTCCCCTCGTCGCAGTCCACCCTTCCATGCCGCTGCATCAATGGTCCTGACTTCTCCGTTTCTAAAATTATTGCCTCTTCTGAACCAAAAACAATCAGTCAGGAGCCATGTTTTGTGGTTTGTCTTTGCAAACAGGGTCATCTGACTTATTGTAGGCCAAGGGATCAATCATGGAGCTCGATTGATGAGGAAATACCCTTTGTTAATGGTATAGTCATACTGGGCGGTAAGTTATATGCTACAACGTCCTTAGAGTCCAAGTTTTTAATGGTATTTGAGATAATCGAAGACACCAAAGTCAATGGCGGTCCTCTTAGCTATAGGGTCGTTAAGTTGATAACCCTTGATCCCAACACACGTCCTTCCATTCCACTTCCTTTCGTAAAAACTGATTACAATGGATCAAGAGTAGAGCATTACAAAGGCCGTGAGTTCGTTCACCTAGCAAAAGATTCTGCATCTATGGAGTTGTTTATGATTTTTCATAAGGCAGACTATGCATACAAGCCTAAACAAGAAATGAGTTTACTAACCGATCCTTGCTGGCATAAGATCATGCTTGGAAAGACCTTTCGTTACACTGAGCCACCTAAGACTAAAGGATTTCGAGTGTTCAAACTGGAGTGTGATATTGATGGTGGTCCACAATGGATGGAGGTTGTTGAACTTGGTGATCGGGTATTATTTGTGAGCAACCACCATTCCGCCGTTATGTCGTACCCTCATGGTCAGAAGGTTGAAAGAAACAGTATTTATTTTGCCTTTGATTACGCGTGTTACGAATCAGTCGAATGCGACTTTGGAGTATTTTCCTTGACAAATAAGAGTATCAGGCATTTTAGTTGCTCCAAGAGTCGTTTTTCGTCCCAGTTGCATACTGCACCTTTATGGTTTGTGCCCAATCTTTGTTAGGTTAGTTTAATTAAATTTTATTTTGTTTCCCTTTTTTAAGTTGGAAAGATTTGCTTTTTGTATTTTTATTTTTTATGAAAATTGTTTACTTCTCTTACTTATATGCACTTAATACATATATAAATCATGTGATTATGTTTATTTAATACAATCACTACAATTAATCATTCATAAAAGGAACATAACTACATTGAGATCCAATTATATAAAATCATATGGAGTCTTGATGCAATAACTTTGTATATTGTTGTAAGACGTCAATATAATGATAATCATGTTTCATATAGTCCATTTTTCTAACAAAGACATATCAAACACTGCAAGAAATAACGATCCAATATCCCCACTCGCCCTCACTCGCAGATGCCTCTATACCCTCCTTCCAGATATGCCCCGTTTTGGTATTTTTTTTGTTCTTTCCAATTTTTGGTAATAGGCTTGATGTTGTGCACCGTTGCGGACCGGTCACATTGGCAACATGTTTTGTTTTTGTATTTTCCTTTTTTCTTAGTCCAATTGGTACAAAGTTTTTCTTTTTCTTTTTCGTGGTATTGGTTATTAGGGTTTCGGTTGATCTTTTTTCCACCAATATACCCGTTGGCTACACGTTTTTTTGTTTGTCCAAAGGGGACAAGGATGACGATCTCGGGTGCCGATTCAATGCCGCTTCATACGCCTTTTTTTTTTTTTTCCTTTTTTTTCGGAATTGCTTTCAATAACAACGGCAAGCCTGCTCCAACAATTTTGGTCTAGCAGTAGGTGGCTGCTTCGTTGTTTTGGTTTGTACTGTGGGAGAGCAAGTTGCCGGGCAAATGTGAGGGAGAAGCCGGTGTTTGGTTTGCAGGAATAGTAGATATGTTGGTGTTTGGTTAGAGAGTTAAGAATGATTAAAACTTTAATGATTAAATTAATTTAATGTTGTTTAATATATATCGCTCTTAAGATTTTTTGTGTTTTAACAAAACTCCCTAGGTTTTAAAAAGATAAATTTTATTTGAGCTTAAATAACTTTGTATGATTTAAAACTTTAAATATGAATTATTTTCTTAATTATTTCATAATTATTATCAAGCACAGATTGGAATTAACAACAAAACTTAAATTTATGAATAAACCCACATTTAGTAATCAAACTTACACCGCTCAATTTTTATCATACGTTTTCTAGTGTGTTAATATTGCCTGCAAAAATATGTTGTTTCGACTTGCATGGCTGATCTTATGATATCTGTTTATGAAAAGGAGTCTGGAGCGTTCAAGTTCAAATCTCCCTTTTCAAAAGTTAAGTGAATTTAGAGCAAATCTAAATATGTTATTTCAACTTGCATAATCGATCTTATAATTCTTGAACGAAACAAATAAAGCGTGCACATGCACAATTGTGAAAGTTGAACCTGTAATGCGCCAACAGGTAAATAAAAGTTGTGGCCCTCCGCAGTCAATCAGTCATAGCTTGTCACATCTTTCATAAGTTCATAGGTTCAACTGGCGTTTCCAAATAAAAGATGTGGAAACAAAGAATTTTGTTATCGTCACAAATAAAGGTTTTACATATAATATTACCATTCTCCGTGTCAAACGATTATCACTTACTAATTATCTCCAATTCTTGAAGTTTCAACCATAAATAGCTAATGGTGGATACGACATTCGGTTTGTGATAAAGATAAATTATTATTTCAGGGTAGACTGGAGTTCAGCTCATTTGATATCTTAATCATTTAAATAATATGATTCAACTAGGGGTCCTGGGATTTTAATTTTCGACAATAAAATGTTTGAATCTCTACACAAAAATTTCGAATCTGATTGTTTTTCAAAAGTTGAAATGAAAATCTGAATGGATTTAGAGATTCTGATAACTAGGAATTTCCGATATAATTTTTTTTTCAAAGTGTTCACCTAACTTATGTCGATACCAAAATGTTTTGATTTCTGATATTTTTCTATTGAATTATAAAATGTGTTGTCAACTCTGTGTTTAGTTTTAGATATAGTTTGTTCATTGATTTTTATATTAATCGTACTTGTAAAATATGTTGTTTCGACTAGCATGACGAGTCTTATGATATTTGTTTATGCAAAGAAGACTTGAATGTTCGAGTTCAAATTTCTCTTTCGACAAGTTTAGTGAACTTAGAGCATATCCAAATATGTTATTTCAACTTGCATGACCGATCTTATGATTCTTGTACAACACATGAACAAAAACAGTAACATTTTGCGTAAAATGTATATAAGTGACCGGGTTTAAAAATTTAGCTTCTCTACATACTTGCATGACTACATGGACAAAAACAGTAATAGTATCCATAAAATGTATAAAGTTAATTGCAAAAGGAATGCAAGGGCGGGATTAAGTTTTAGGTTGAGGAGGTTTTGCACCAGTATACAGTTGCGGTCACGGTGGCTACATGTTTTTTGATTTTCTGTTTTCCTTTTTTATTTGTCCAAAGGAATCTTTAGTACCCATTTATGCCAGCTGCCACGTTTGAAGTCCTATATTTACAGCTACAGTCACTCACTGGTCACCCGCTCACTCACTCTCACTCTCTCACTCTCCCTCCCTTCCTTCTCTCTCTCACTCACTCCCTCTATCTCCTTCCTCTCTCCCTCTTCTCTCTCCTTCTTCTTTCTCCCTCTTCTCTGTTCTATCGTTCTGAAATGGAACATGCCGGGTTGGCTATCATTATACCTTCGTTTTACGGAGGTATTTTCCTCCTTTTTGTCCTCTATGCCTGCATTTTTTACTTAGTAAAACCTGCAGAGGAGGAAAATGACGCTCAGGGACAACCTCCGGAGGGGGTGGATGTTGCTCAGCCGCCTGCTCAGCCGGGACAACCTCCGGCGGGGGGTAATGATGCTCAGGGACAACCTCTGGAGGAAATGAATGTTGCTCAGCCACCTGTTCAGCCGGGACAACCTCCGGAGGGGGGGAATGTTGCTCAGCCCCCTGCACAGCCGGGACAACCTCCGGAGGGGGGGAATGTTCCTCAGCCCCCTGCACAGCAGGGACAACCTCCGGAGGGGGGGAATGTTGCTCAGCCCCCTGCACAGCAGGGACAACCTCCGGAGGGGGGGAATGTTGCTCAGCCCCCTGCTCAGCCGGAACAACCTCTGGAGGGAGGAAATGCTGCTCAGCCGCCTGCTCAGCCAGGACAACCTACGGAGGGGAATGCGACTCAGCATGAACCAGAAATATTTTTCAGCATGGCGACGGTATTGTTTAACCTGTTTCAAGCATTTTTTATCATCCCCTCTATTAAGTTCATTCCACCCGTGTCAAAAGTGTTGAAATCGGACAGCTATCTCATTTTTGCCCTTCCATTTATGCTTTTGGATGCATTTTTTCTCTTTATTATCTATAAGCAAAGAGAAAATATCACCCCGAGAGTAGTGGCCATCATAGAAATTGGTTATGTGGGGGAAATAATAGAGTTAGGTTTATGGGCTTTGGGACTTTATATACAGAATATAATTGACCCCGAGTGCATCATATGCCTTTTCACCCTATTGAATTGTTCCTATTTCTTAATTTCTTTCGTTTTATTCCTAAGACATCCTAGAGCCCTATCCTTTCTAGATTTTTCCATAGGAATAAATGGTGTCATTTTAGTGTATTTTATAAAACTAATTGACGGGGGAACAAAACTAAAGGGTTACGAATACGGGTTGTTTAGTCTATCTATTACAACCTGCGTTTGTGTGCTTTTGTTCAAGAGCCATCACGATAGTGTAATAGCCGGGATCGAGAATCCGAGAACTATATTTTCAATTTTAGGTAAATGTATTTTCACACGTATTAGGCGATGCTTAAAATATTGCTGGAATAGGTGGATACTTCTTAAGAATTGGGTGACAAGTAACTTCCCTGTTGCTTGGAATTGGGTAGTCACTGGGTGGAATGCCTGTTGGCCTGTTGCTCTGAATTGGGTTGTCACTAAGGGGAATGCGTGTTGGGCTCCTGTTAAGAATTGGGCTGTCACTGAGGGGAAAGCGTGTTGGGCTGCTGTTCGGAATTGGGCTGTCACTCGGTGGAATGCTATCATGCAGAGGGCACCACAGGGGGCCGACAACGCTTAATTAAATTTAGTTTGTTAGTTTTAGTTAATGTAAAAGGGTGCAGGACACTCTTTTTTTCATTTGACCGATTTGAAAATTTCGGCAAAGATTTTTATCGAGGCCTAGCACCCTTATTTTCGGTTGTAATTTTTAGTTTTATTCATGTATTAAGCCTTATTATCAATATGAATGAATTTTTAGTTTTATTAATGTATTAAGCCTTAGTAAGCTTAGCTGGCATTTTGATGCTGTCATGGTTTTATGCTCAATAAAGTGAAATGATATTGTTTCATGTTTGTAGTCGAAAATTGAACCCAACACACGTCCTTCCTTTTTTCCACTTTCTTTCGTTAAAATTGATTATAATGGAAGAAGAGTAGAGCATTACAATGGCCGTCATTTCGTTCACCTAGCAAAAGATTCTGCATCCATGGAGTTGTTTATGATTTTTCTTAAGGCATACTATGCATAAAAGCCTAAACAAGAAACGTGTTTAATGTCCGATGCTTGGCATAAGGTCATGCTTGGAAAGACCTTTCATTACACTGAGCCACCTAAGACTAAAGGATTTCGAGTGTTCAAACTGGAGTGTGATATTGATGGTGGTCCACAATGGATGGAGGTTGTTGAACTTGGTGATCGGGTATTATTTGTTAGGAACCACCATTCTGCCGTTATATCGTACCCCTATGGTCAGAAGGTTGAAAGAAATAGTATTTATTTTACCTTTGATTACCCGTGTTACGAATCAAACAAATGCAACTTTGAAGTATTTTCCTTCACAAATAAGAGTATTAGACATTTTAGTTACTCCAAAACTCGTTCTTCGTCCCAGTTGCATACTGCACCTTTATGGTTCGTACCCAATATTTGATAGGTTAGTTTAATTAAATTTTGGTTTCTTTCCCTTTTTTAGTTGGAAAGATTTGCTTTTTTATTTTTATTTTTATGAAAATTGTTTACTTCTCATACTTATATGCACTTAATATATATATAAATCAAGTGATTATGTGTATTTAATACAATCACTACATTTAATCATTCATAAAAGGAGCATAACTATTTTGAGATCAAGTTATATAAAGTCTTGATTCAATAACTTTGTATTATTGTAGCAAGACGTCAATATAATGATAATCCTGTTTCATATGGTCCATTTTCCTAACAAAGGCATATCCAACATTGCAAGAAATGACGATCCAATATCCCCACTGCCCTCACTCGCGGATGCCTCTATGCTCTCCTTCTAGATATGCCCTACAAGTTTTTGGGTCCGCATGCCGTCCTTTTTCAAATAACTTTTTCAAGTGTTGGTATTTTGTTTTTTATTTTTTTGGTATTAGGCGTTCGGTAGATGTTGATGTCGTGCACCGTTGCGGACCGGTCACATTGGCAACATGTTTTGTTTTTGTATTTAACTTTTTTCTTAGTCCAATTGGTACAAATTCTTTTTTCTTTTCTTTTTCGTGGTCATGGCTATTAGGGTTTCGGTTGACGTTTTTTCCACCAATATACCCCTTGGCTACAAGTTTGTCTGTTTTTCTATTTTCCTTTTTTGTTTGTCCAAAGGGGAATGACAAAGACGACGATCTCCGGTTGTGATTCAATGCCGCCCCATACGCCTTCCTTTTTTTCTTTTTTTTTTTCTTTTCCGGAATTGTTTTCAATAACAACACCAAGCCTGCTCCAACAATTTTGGTCTAGCAGTAGGTGGCTGCTTCGTTGTTTTGGTTTGTATTGTGGGAGCGCAAGGTGCCGGGCAAATGTGAGGGAGAAGTTGGTGTTTGGTTTGCAAGAATAGTAGATATGTTGGTGTTATATCTTGCATGGCCGGTCTTATGATATCTGTTTATGCAAAGGAGTCTGGAACGTTCGAGTTCAAATTTCTCTTTCCACAAATTAAGTGAATTTAAAGCATATCCAAATATGTTATTTCAACTTGCATGACCGGTATTATGATTCTTGTATGACACAAATAAAACGTGCACATGTACAATTGTGAAAGTCAAACTTGTAATGCGCACGAGCTACATGAACAAAAACAGTAACATTTTGCGTAAAATGTATATACGTGACCGAGTTTAAAAGTATAGCTTGTCTACATACTTGCATGACTACATGGACAAAAATAGTAAGAGTATCCATAAAATGTATGAAGTTGATTGCAAAAGGAATGCAAGGGTGTACTGGTATTTTGAGTAAATATATATTCATATATTAGAGGATGGGACATAAATAGGAAAATTAAAAAGTTCTACTATTTTTTTTTTCAAATGAAGCATCTGGTTGTTTCGTCAAGGCCGTCTATTTTTTGGGAGGTCGAAAAGACTCACAGAGCCATTTTAGCCTCCATAGTCACCATTGTGTGATGCAGCAACGTAAAAAATTGAACACATGACATTACCTTATGAAACATTGAAGATTGATTGTGGTCAACGAATACCATATAGGGAAAAAATGTGGAAAGAATTGTTTAGCCCTAATTTTCTTCATCGGACACTTACCTGAGCTTCTGTTCTTATCTGTTTGATAAAAATCCCATGGTCGTAATTTAATATTTAAAGTTAAAATTGATATATAATTTTTTTTTCTTTTACATGGAAGTTTCTTATATGTTTCACTTCCCCTCTTTTCTTTACGTCTCAATATCCTCCAGCAATTATTCAGCAGCCATGGATGAAAGGGAGAGATAGAGATCGAGACGGGCAATATTTAAGGGTGAGTATCAAACTCAAGATGTTGAGTACTTAATTAAATAAGCTACAGGTTCATCGTTGGTTGAATTGAATGCTTGAATTTAGGCGAACCGTTATGTCTTTGGGCCGTTGGGGCCAAGCCCGTCTAAGCTTAATTGATGCTTACTTGTAAAAATCGTGTTTATTAATTAGCATATATGCTTCATGGCTTCATGTATTCTTGGAACAATATGGGTTCACAATTTTAGTTCCATATCTTTGAATACCAAATGATGCGACAAATTAAAAAACTAGTTCCCGTTGTTATACTCGTCTAACTTTATTACAAAAATGAAAAACATCAACCTTGTTTTATGAAACTGGCGGGGTGAGCTAGAGCAAAGTAAATGAGCATCCAACCAAAGCTTAATCCGAGTATGCAAACGGATCTCAGTTTTTTACTTCGAATCCGAACGACACCTTTTTTGTCTCTCCTCATTGTTATATTGTGCAATCCCAAACTTGTTATATGAGAATAGTATGATATTTATTATTTCGATAAACTCTTTTTCGAGTTGCTTATTAATTGGTTCCTCCCATAGGCTATGTTTGCTTCATTTCCACGCCAAAACCCAGCAAAATGTCAAAAATTTCGTGCTCCAGCCCATGCTCATATGGCATTTGCCACCAAACGACACCACATTCGCATGCTCTCACATTTCCGGAAACGGATCCGCCGTACAACTCCACGTGTGGCGCCCTTGCTCGCCCCGAGAGGGTTAGCCGTCGCTTTCATTGTGCAGCTGACAACACGAGACAGCAAGCGGGTGCGGCGCGTCTCTGTCGCCTCGCGGGTGCTAAAATCCGCAGGATTTCAGTGGGTATCTCTCATCCGTGCTGGGTCTGCGTTGCCGTGCTTGGTGTGCGGTGCTGGGTGCACTGTGGGGGATAAGTGCTGGGTCTGCGTTGCCGACACACCATCACAATATTTCAGTAATTTTCTGCGTCACCAAAATTATTATCTGTATCTAATTTTAAATTGACTTGGTCATTGCTTGGTCTTCCACACCAGTCCAAAAACAAGGCTAAATTGGTAAATTCCTCAAAACGTGCCACGCAACCAGAAAGCAGCAGGAAAGCCACCCTCTTCCCTTCCCTCCCACCCCCACTTAAACACCATGACCCAACCACACCTACCCTCACCAGAGAAAAAAAGCGTGAGAGAGTCCTCATCATAACATAACCTACACTCTCATTTTCCTCCTCAGTATATATTCATATACAACTGCAATTTTGTGTAAATAATTGAGAGATGAAGTCATTATTTGTTGCTTTGAGAATTACGAACCAGGAAATGAAATTCAGTTTTATTTTATTATATTGATTCGTGTACAATATTCATGTTCATTTGGAGAAATTCTTAATTTGCTTCTTGATATATATAGCTAGAGAGCTTCTTAAAAAATAAATATTTGTATATTGTAAAACATACAATAAATCCATGTAATTAGCATGGGTATACATATTCAGCAAAAATAATATGGGTACAAATCAAATTAAAAAATATGGGTACATATTAAATTTAAATCTATGGGTACAAATTGAAATTAAAAAGAATATTGGTCCAAATTTGAAAAAGGGTACAGATTAAAAGTAGAAATATATGAAACATACAAAGAAATATGGGTACAAATTAAATTAAAAAGAATATGATTATGTGTATAAATCATGTGATTATGTGTATTTAATACAATCACTAGTTTTGGTTTTGGTTTTTTTAAATAACTTTTTTCAAATAACTTTTACTGGGGGGCCACCACCAGTTTTGGTTTTTTATTTTTTTATTTATTTTTCTTTCCAATTTTGGTATTAGGCTTTCAGTTGTTGATGTTGTGCACGGTGCACCGTTACGGACCGGTCACTTGGCCACATGTTTTCCTCCTCAGTATACCCTCCTCCCAAATCCCACTTCTTTTGCTCAACACACACACACACAATTGCAATTTTGTGTAAATAATTGAGAGATGAAGTCATTATTCATTGTTTTGAGGATTACGAACCAGGAAATGAATTCAGTTTTATTTATTAAATTGATTAGTGTACAATATTCATGTTAATTTGGAGAAATTCTTAATTTGCTTCTCGATATATAGCTAGATAGCTTCTTAAAAAATAAATCCATGTAATTAGCATGTGTATACATATTCAGCAAAAATAATATGGGTACAAATCAAATTAAAAAATATGGGTACATATTAAATTTAAAACTATGGGTACAAATTGAAATTAAAAAGAATATTGGTCCAAATTTGAAAAAGGGTACAAATTAAAATTAGAAATATATGAAACATACAAAGAAATATGGGTACAAATTAAATTGAAAAAATGAGGACATATTAAAATTTAAAATTATGGGTACAAATTGAAATTAAAAAGAATATTGGTACAAATTTGAAAAATGAGTACAAATTAAAACAAAAAAATATATGAAAAATTCTAAAAAGATACATCTAGAAATCATTAATAAGTTTTTCATTCTTTGAAATTGACATACGATGACATGTAATAATTTAATATTAGAATAATGACATGGACAAAAGTCAAAATACCTTGATAAATTCGAAAAATGAGAAATGGAAATTAATGAGAGATAGAGACCTAATTTTAATTAATGAGAAATGAAAATGAGAGATAAGAACCTAATACATGCATATATTCGCTCCTTCCCAACCAGAGGTACACACGCAAGTTAAGAGCCATAGGCTAGTTAGGGTTTCTTCAAAACTTTCAGAAGGAGGTAATCAGACGCACACTCAGGCCTCGTTTGGTAGCTTGGACTGTACTGACTATTTCAGTTGGATAGGATAAATAGTCGTCGGATAGTACTGACTAAATTAGTCGGGTGTTTGGTGCAATATCGGACTAATCACCGTATTAATAGGATCGATTATGTTATATTTTTTAATTACTTGTTAATAGTATTTTAGGAATGATAATTCAAATTAAAATAAATTCGACAAAAAAAATCTCAAAAATAAAAAAAAATCAAAAGAAACCCAGGGAAGATCCCCTTGAAACCCATATCACAACGAAAATCACAAACTAATCCATCAAACACAAAAAAATCACAAATTATCAAGAATCACAAATCCATCAAATAGAAAAAATCACAAACTAAAGGAAACAAGACAGAGAGAGAAAAAGAGAAAAAAAGAAGAAAAAAAAGAAAATTGCAGCAAAAGGAAGACGATGAAGATGAAACGAGAAAACACCCATGAGGAAGATGATGCAATCAGGTGTGAGCGGGAGTGGTTTCGCTGATTTAGCTCTGAATCTCCAGAGCAACAGACACGAGATGACGGAGCAGATGCGAGAGGGGTGCGAGGCGTTTTGAGGCCGACTAAATTATACCGAGTTTTTTTAGCGTACTAACTAGCGGATTTGAGGCGTACTAATTAATTTGGACCGGATTTGTTAGTTCGGCGACTATTTAGTACGTAAGTCTCCAAACACCCACTCCCGCATTATTAACCCTATCCGATGCTTAATACGGTGTGCCAAACGAGGCCTCAGTCACTGCTCTTGTGGTTGATAATCCATTAAAATCCCGAATATTACACGGCCAAGCCCTAAAAGTCCTCCGAAGGTGAACCCTAAAAATCCTCCCAAGTGGTCTCATCAGATCCTAGCCATGCATCATAAGGGACCTGTGACTTCATTTTCCGTCATGCTTCAATGGGATTCTTCAAAACCATTTTCCCTCCTTTCATTATATAGGGATTGCTCTTCCTACGTTTACGGAAAGAGAATCAACAGCAATTCTGTTGTATTCAAAACACAAACACGTGTAATTATTTATTTAATTCAAATTATAACACGCGATTTAGTTGGATAAATTAAACCTAAGTAGTGATAATACATATCTTCACTAGAGATCAAGGATAAGACCAAGACTCTTTCAAAAAATTCGAGATAAACACGTAAAGACTTTAAAACATGGGAACAGCACGTATGTATATATAAATTCGCTCATTTCCAATCAGGGGTGCACACGCAAGTCAAGATCCTTATTAATTAGGTTAGTTAGGGTTTCTTCAAAACTTTCGCGATGAGGCGCCTCCTGATGGTCTACCTCGACGAAAAAACAAGGTAATCACATGCACAGTTGGTTACTGCCCCAGTGCCCTTGTGATTGATAATCAAGTATTAATGTATGTCTCATCTGTTACTTTGTAGGTAATTGATTTGGAAACTGCAAATATTTCATTCGTGATGGTAATAAGCTTCAAAGTCTGCAATTTTATTAACAAACTAAAGATATTTCGTCAATTGGAGGTTTTATGTGCAATATATGTATATGCAAATGTGCTCTAAATCACTATATTATTCTTTGTTCTTAATTGCGGCTTTGTAGGAGAATTATTTTTTGTTCCTGCATTTAATCTAGCTTGCTTTACACTTTCCGTTCCTAACAATCCATTTTCTGTTTTTTTTATGTGCCGCAGAGAAATACGTGACAAGATTATAATTGTAGATTTGGTCGAAGGCATAATCTTTTACACTCTGTTTTTTGGATCGTTGGCACTTATTCGTGCATATCCTGAAAGAATGCTTCCACCTATGTTAACATACTACCGCCTATCAAGAATGTTTGTGTTGCTGATTCTCGATTTCATTGGCCGGAAGTTCAGAATGATCATCTTCATAATATGTAGAAGAAGAAGAATGATCATCTCGAAAGTAGAGGACAGCAGCCCCTGGTCCAATAAACTCGCGGGAGATGTTATGCAACTGATTCTACGACGACTGGGCTTATTAGACTACGTTCGATGTGCTGCAGTATGCCGTTCATGGCAAGCAATTATTAAAAGCAATATTCAATCACGCCGTCCCCTTGCTCAGGATCAAGTTCCATGGCTTATGTTAAGCTCTCATCCCTTGTCCACTAGAGATCATCGCGTTTTAAGTCCAGGTGATTGGAAAGATCATAAATTTCTACGATCATGGCCAAATCCAATTTTTTATTGTACAATGAATAGGATGGATTGTGTTGGCTCAATAGAGGGATGGTTGATCATGGTCGACAGTGCGTTGAGGCGTCCGGAGGGTTTTATGAAACCCTGGTCATTCTACCTAAAAAATTCTCAGAACCCTAGTTTTAAAATAGAATTCTTCTTCTTCAATCCAATATCTGGTGATCGAGTGATGCTCCCCTCGTCCCAATCCACCCTTCCATGCCACTGCATCAATGGTCCGGACTTCTCCATTTCTAAAATTATTGCCTCTTCTGAACCAAAAACAATCAGCCAGGAGCCATGTTTTGTGGTTTGTCTTTGCAAAGAGGGTCATCTGACTTATTGTAGGCCAACGGATCAATCATGGAGTTCGATTGATGAGGACGTACCCTTTATTGATGATATAGTTATACTGGGTGGTAAGTTATATGCTACAACATCCTTAGAGTCCAAGTTTTTAATGGTATTTGAGATGATCGAAGACGCCAAAGGCAATGGCGGTCCTCTTAGCTGTAGGGTCGTTAAGTTGGTAACCCTTGATCCCAACACACGTCCTTCCTTTTTTCCACTTCCTTTCGTTGAAATTGATTATGATGGATCAAGAGTAGAGCATTACAATGGCCGTGATTTCGTTCACCTAGCAAAAGATTCTGCATCTATGGAGTTGTTTATGGTTTTTCATAAGGCAGACTATGCATACAAGCCTAAACAAGACACGTGTTTACTATCTTTGCATGAGGTCATGCTTGCAAAGACCTTTCGTTACACTGAGCCACCTAAGACTAAAGGATTTCGAGTGTTCAAACTGGAGTGTGATATTCATGGTGGTCCACAATGGATGGAGGTTGTTGAACTTGGTGATCGGGTATTATTTGTGAGCAACCACCATTCCGCTGTTATATCGTACCCTTATGGTCAGAAGGTTGAAAAGAAACAATATTTATTTTGCCTTTGATTACCCGTGTGACGAATTAACCAAATGTGACTTTGGAGTATTTTCCTTGACAAATAAGAGTATCAGGCATTTTAATTGCTCCAAGAGTCGTTCTTCGTCCCAGTTGCATACCGCACCTTTATGGTTTGTACCCAATCTTTGTTAGGTTAGTTTATTGAAATTTTGTTTTGTTTCCCTTTTTTTAGTTGGAAAGATTTGCTTTTTGTATTTTTATTTTTTATGAAAATTGTTTACTTCTTATACTTATATGCACTTAATATATATATATATATATATATATATATATATAAATCATGTGATTATGTGTATTTAATACAATCATTACATTTAATCATTCATGAAAGGAACATAACTACATTAAGATCAAATTATATAAAATAGATTTAACATCATGTGGATTCTTAATTCAATAACTTTGTATTATTGTAGCAAGACGTTAATGTAATGATAATCTTGTTTCATATCGTCCAATTTCCTGACAAAGACGTATCAAACACTGCAAGAAATAACCATCCAATATCCCCACTTGCCCTCACTCGCGGATGCCTCTATACTCTCCTTCCAGATATGCCTTCCTTTTTCAAATAACTTTTGCTGGTAGCCCACCACCAGATTTGGTATTTCCTTTTTTATTTTTTTTCTTTCCAATTTCGGTATTAGGCTTTCAGTAGATGTTGATGTTGTGCACCGTTGCGGACCGGTCACATTGGTAACATGTTTTGATTTTGTATTCTCCTTTTTTCTTAGTCCAATTGGTACAGATTCTTTTTTTTTCTTTTCTTTTTCGTGGTATTTGCTATTAGGGTTTCGGTTGACGTTTTTTCCACCAATATACCCCTTGGCTACAAAGTTTGTCTGTTTTTCTATTTTCCTTTTTTGTTTGTCCAAAGGGGAATGACAAAGACGATCTTGGGTTCCGATTCAATGCCACCTCATACGCCTTTTTTTTCTTCTTTTTTTATTTTTATTTTTCCGGAATTGCTTTCAATAACAACACCAAGCCTGCTCCAACAATTTTGGTCTAGCAGTAGGTGGCTGCTTCGTTGTTTTGGTTTGTATTGTGGGAGAGCAAGCTGCCGGGCAAATGTGAGGGAGAAGCTGGTGTTTGGTTTGCAAGAATAGTAGATATGTTGGTGTTAATATTGCCTGCAAAAATATGTTATTTCGATTTGCATGGCCGGTCTTATGATATCTGTTTATGGAAAGGAGTCTGGAACGTTTGAGTTCAAATTTCTCTTTCCCCAAGTTAAGTGAATTTAGAGCATATCCAAATATGTTATTTCAACTTGCATGACTGATCTTATGATTCTTGTATGGCACAAATAAAACCTGCACATGTACAATTGTGAAAGTCAAATTTGTAATGCGCACGAGCTACATGAACGAAAACAGTAACATTTTACGTAAAATGTATATACTGACCAAGTTTAAAAATATAGCTTGTCTACATACTTGCATGACTACATGGACAAAAACAGTAATAGTATCCATGAAATGTATAAAGTTGATTGCAAAAGGAATGCAAGGGTATAATGCTATTTTGCTTAAATATATATTCATATATTAGAGGATGGGACATAAATAGGAAAATTAAAAAGTTCTACTATTTTTATTTTATTTTTCAAATGAAGCATCTGGTTGTTTCATTAAGGCAGTATATTTTATGGGGCGGTCAAAAAGACTCACAGAGGTATTTTAGTCTCCATAATCATCATTGTGTGATGCATCAACGTCAAAAATTGAATACAGGACATTACCTTATGAAACATTGAAGATTGATTGTGGTCAACGAATACCATATAGGGAAATAATGTGGAAAGAATTGTTTAGTTCTAATTTTCTTCCTCAGACACCTGAGCTTCTGTTCTTCTCCGTTTGATAAAAATCCCATGGTCGTAATTTAATATTTAAAGTTAAAATTGATATATAATTTTTTTTTTTACATGGAAGTTTCCTGTATGTTTCACTACTCCTCTTTTCTTTACGTCTCAATATCCTCCAGCAATTATTCAGCAGCCATGGATGAGAGGGAGAGATAGAGATCGAGACGGGCGATATTTAAGGGTGAGAATCAAACTCAAGATGTTGAGTACGTAATTAAATAAGCTACAAGTCCATCGTTGGTTGAATTGAATGCTTGAATTTAGGAGAATCATTATGTCTTGGGGCCAAGCCCGTCTAAGCTTAATTGTTGCTTATAGATAATTACTTGTAAAAATCGTGTTTATTAATTAGCATATATGCTTCATGTATTCTTGGAACAATATGGGTTCACAATTTTAGTTCCAGAGCTTAGAATACTAAATGATGCGACAAATTAAAAAACTTGTTCCCGTTGTTACACTCGTCTAACTTTATTACAAAAATGAAAAACATCAACCTTGTTTTATGAAACTGGCGGGGTGAGCTAGAGCATAGTAAATGAGCATCCAACCAAAGCTTAATCCGAGTATGCAAACGGATCTCAGTTTTTTACTTGGAATCCGAACGACACCATTTTTGTCTCTCCACCTTTCATTGTTATATTGTGCAATCCCAAACTTGTTATATGAGAATACTATGATATTTATTATTTTAAAAAACTTCATTTTAATCTTTAAAAAAAATGAGTTTTAGATTATAACCATATGTAAGATTAAAATCCAATTTTAGTCCCTAGCACATTGATACGATGTAGGCAGCACCACGGGCCTATCCCCTCAGACTATGACCTCATTGGCCTGGTCTGTGAATGATGTGTGGAGACGTCCAATTGGTACAAATTCGTTTTTTCTTTTTCCTTTTTTTCACCAATATTACCGTTGGCTACATGTTTTTTGTTTTTCTATTTTTCCATATTTGTTTGTTCAAATGGGTACAAAATCGTTTAGAGACTCTGGGAATCTTTAGTGCGCCATTCCTGCCACATATGCAAAGCCACACACGGTGGACAAACATTCGGGTCCATAAAAATTGGCATGCGTTATAATGAGTCGTACTTAAGATATCTATTTATGCAAATGTGTCGGTTTTTTATGTGGTAAAATATAATTCATATGGTATTCGAGTCTATAAAATAAATAGATACTAACTTATACATAATTCGTCTAGGCAATAAACCCTAACTCCCGTTCGACTAGCACCTAGTGCAACCTTGATGGATAATGTTCCATGTAGTCATGCAAGCACGTAGACAAACTATATATCTGAGTGGTTTTAGACCCACCCTATTTTTCTAATTTCCCACCTACCAAAGTATACCACCCACCATAAAAATTTAAAATAAACCCTACCATTTTCCCACCGACTTTATCTTCAAAATTCCCTTAATATGACAATATAATCCAGTTACCCGGGCCAACGCAGCTCATCAGCACGACCTCCCATCGCGATCCCCATTCTTGACAGCTCTGAAATTGTTAAACACCTCAAAAAGTGCCCGCCCAAAATCCCCAAAAAGGGCTGGGATCCCAAAAACCCAAACTACCAAGAAAACACCCCACTCCCTCTTTCTCCTCCCAACCACCACCGTAACGCCCCATCCCCATTAAACGTGATTCCTTAATTAATGGCTTAATTCCACATAGTAGGAAGCTAACCATTTATTTCTATTTCTCAGAAAAACTACAAAATAAATCATTTCAATCTGATGACAACCAAAATGTACTTTCTAGCATAAGACTAGCTAGGTGGAAGCAAGGATTCCCATAATATTAAAAGAGCAACCCGTATGTATCATGTGCCAAATGTTTCCTCTGGCCTGCCTCTGTCCTTAGCAGCAACATTTATGTACATCTCCCCAGCACATAATGCTTATTTTTAACCATGAATGCATTACAGAGGAAATAAACACCTCTTGAAATCTTTTCTAAGAATATGTTAAAGGCTACTAACAAGAACATATCGTCTCCATTAAATGAAGATATTGCATTTATCAAAGACTTCAATAAGTCCACCCATGATTCAATTTCAAAATTTTCTTACCAAACATCTGATCATATTTCCATTTTATCACCATTTCCTTTATAGATCAATTTCCATTCTAAAAATTTATTCTCGAATTATTTAAGGCTGCATCTAACACTGTTAGACTGCCTACATACCCTTAAGCGGGATCAAGCCTTTCGTAGTTTACATTTCATTCTTTTATCAATTTCCAACCTATTCTAGTAGTAACCACCATATTCAACATTAGTTTTCGCAATCAATTTGACATCCAATGATTACCAATTATGGATTCAGAATGTTGAAATTTTCATGAAAAATGCAACGTTGGCCCACTAGCCACGCACCGCCATAGGTGACGCTCGACCGCCCTGACTCATCGGAAAATTTAACTATTTCTAAAATTTCTCAAATTTTGCAGAAATGTAGAGCAAGCCAAGGGAAATAACTTTTATACCTGGGCCAAAGTCTAATTTGGTCAGGAAACTCCTGAATTCGGCCATGAACCACCATAACCCTAGAATTTGGGTCATCTCAATCTGTCACCTCCGGTGCTCCGCCGCCCCTATAGTTGTTTGGGTTTTGTTCCAGACCTCAAGTAGAGTCTAACAGTGGTATTAATTGGATGAAATCATTTCAAAATTGATGGATCTCGAGCAAGCACCGTCGCACCCACCGGTGCGTTTTTCCCAATTTCAAGGCCAAATCTCTTGATTCTTTTGGGGTGTAATAGGAAGAGGGAAGGTCATGGAGGGTTTTCTAAGTGGTGGTTTGATGTGATTCGCCGGAAAAATGGGCGAAAACCCGCCAGAAAAAGGCAAGGGTTTGATGTGATTGGTCCATTCTCTATCTCTCTCCTCTCCCCATTCGGCCAACCTTCTTCCCTCCCCCTCCTGAAACTCCTCACCCTTTTTTTTCTCTTTTCTTCTTTTCCCTCAACCACACCCGTGGCCCTTTCTTTTTTTTTTCCCACGACAAGCTCCCAAAATTATGGAGCCTTCTAGATTCATAGCGAAATGACCATTCTGCCCCTACGCTCGTTCGTTTATATTTTACTTGTTATATCTCCATTTCACGAAAGGTTTTCGCCCACATGCTCATGAGATCAAACTCTATCCCAGTATGCCAAGAAAACGATAAATTATACGAGGATAGAATATGTCCTCCTATATTTCAATTTAGCCAACTAGGGCATTTTCGTCATTTCACTTATCGACAAAAAAAACCGACGAAATTTTTAAAATTCCCAAAAATAAAACTTTAAAAGCTCAATTCACTTTTTTCATAACCATAAATCAATTTATTTTCGATTTTCTCCACAT